GTTCAGAGGTTGGATTTCAGTTACTTTTATCCCTTGAGCTGTCCATCATCACTCTTGACAATAGAAAAGTAGAAACAACAAAAACATGCAAAAATCACCTTTTAAATCTTTCTTTCCTTTCTCTGATTATCTCAAGGGCAGATAGCCCAAGACATTTAGCAACCTTGACTACTGATCACAGAAATTCTATCTTTTCCATAATTCTTGAACACATTGAAGTACCCCACATACTTCATTTAAATAATACATACTAATAAAGGAGAATATTACCCGTGATGTAAGGAAAGCCTTCCTTCCTAACGGCTGTAGGAATATTTTATGTTTGAACAAGTCTTTCTGTCATAAGGTGAGGACAGGAAATGGCTTTACTCCAACAGGTTATTCTGTTGTTCCACAGAACAATCAAGACCCTAAACATTTCACATGCCCTTCTATAAAGAATCATCATAACCTGTGTATGTTTGTGGAACCCTGAAACATTCTCCAGAATATGCCTCTGACCAGCCTATTTTCCCATTATGCACATGTATCTGTTCTGATATTCACTTGGTTTGAGAGTATTTTCCTGCTTCAAATAGACTGAGATTTTTTTTAATTGTACAGCATGTCAGATGTCACAAAGAGTGTTTAGTAAAATATCATCCCTAATTATTATTTAGTTTTCCATTTATAATAAATGCAATACTAGCAATGGCATATTTGTTGAACATTTCATAGGTGGCCAGGCCTTTTGTTACATGTTTTGCTCATATTCAATGAATCATCAAAACAACCTTATATTAAAGATGCTTTTATTATCCCCATTATAGATGAGAAACTGAGGCAGAGAGAAGTGAATGGGACAGAGTTGCTGTGGGAATGCAGCCCAGTCCCAGCTCCCTGCTATCAGGGTTCCAGGTCTCTCTGTAAGGGAATCAGTTAGAATCCTTGCAGGCATCTTTCCCAATTTTCTCACCTACTTTATATCAAATGTTCTAGTAAAATAACTGTGATTTACTGTAATTTTTCAATCTTCATTAAATGCCTGATTTAATGAACTTTTCCAAAAGATTATGGTTTAATTCATTTTAACTATAGGCAATGATACATTTATAGAAAGAGGAAAATGACTCCCTAGTTGTATAAACTTTATAAAAATGGTGTTAGTGACTGAGCTCAGTAGTGTTGTTTTACTGGGCCTGTTCCCTGTCTGGATGCCATTGCTAAAAATGGGCTGTTTGTCTTTGCTTCAAGCGGACTGAGCATTTTCCCTATTCACGGAATTAACTAGTTCAAAACACCAGATCTCAATTATCTAAACTTAGAGTAGATGGAACATGTGTCAATTGTGTTGTTGAATTCCAACTGCCAAGCTTTATGAAAGGACAACATCCAATGGAGATGCCCTCTTTTTTCTTCTGAGAAAGGCCCACAAGGACTGGACCCCAGAAAGTATTCTAATCTCAGAACAGAGGATAACTGGAAACAGATTGGCTTTACCTTGGGGGAAGGCTTAAGATGAGACCTAAGATGCTGGATGGGAGGTTAGAAGGAAAACGTGTGCATTTTCCCTACTTGATTTTCTAACTTGATACTAGATTTGGAGCCAGAAGATGATCTTCAATACAAAGTATATAATGATCTCTTTGGAACTGTGTGTTTGCTGTGTCACCAATCTCATGCCTTTACTTCCTTAACCTTCTGTCTCCACAGAAGACTCACGGCATTTGACGGAAGAGATCTTGACATGTAACAGCCCATCTGTCATTTTATCCCACTCTTGGCACAGTGGCGGAATATTGCAGGATTCCTAACTGTGTGTGAATGTCTTGTTCTGCCTTGCTGACCTTTAGATGATCTCTGTATTCTAGAATAATAATAGGAAGACTCCTACATGCAGAATCAGGACAAGTCTGTGAGCAGCCTAAGTTGGATAAATGTATTATCATGAAACATTTTCTAAAGACGTCATAGATATTAAAAATGATGACTGAGACTCTCAGGCAGAAGTTAGAAGTTCTCTTCATTTTTTCCAGGTGAAGGGGCTCTGCAGAGATAGAGCCTGAAGAGAAAAGCATCCTTGGAGGGGAGCCACCCATCTGGGTCTGAACCCACCCCTTCCCACTCTTGCTCATTGTCCTCAGGGAATCCTTTCCTCCTTGTAAAAGTAGGAGACTTAACTACTGCCTCCCAAGTCAACTTCACACTCAAAAATGCCACTGTCACAAAACTCAGAATCTTGAAACTAGGTAGACAAGAGACAGAGAAAACGAGGAAAAAATACTGGGAGTGTTGTCAGGAAGTCCAATTCAGGGAGGTCTCCCTGAACTCTAGGTGAGACCTCAACCCCGGAGAGGGTTCTTGACTCTGAGTCAAAAAGAATTCACGAGCAGCTTGAGCAGGTGCAAGCAAAGGGTAGTTTAATAGCGTCAAAGTACATACTCAAAGAGGGAGTGTGGGTGCTCCAAAGGTGAGCAGCACAGTGAGGTTCCAGTTGGGGTCTCATAGCTGGAGTTTAGGCAGGAGGTGGGATATTTGTCAGGATAGGTGCAAATATTTTTCAGAACAGGGAAGGGATTTCAGAGGGAGAGTGGGCCATGCCCTCTTTTTTGCCCTAATGTGGTCATCCTGGGGACTGTCACAGTGCCAAGGGGTGACTTGCAGGATGCTAAAATGAGGAAACAATTTGGGGTTGGGGTGAACTATAGGTTGCCTTTGTTCCCCATCCTGAATCTAGTCAGTTTGAACTGATGACAAACCACATTGTTTCACCATCAGTCATTTTCCTAGAGTCTAGCTGGTTTGTTTTCACTTCATCTGTTCGGCTGGCTGCCCACATGAACTGGCCCCAAGCTTTTTCCGACTCGCCCAGGGCCTGGCTCTTTTCCAGAACTCCACTGCATCAGGAGGAGCATGTGTCTTGGGTGCCAGTGAAGGTGGGCCTGTGGGCTGGTGTTGCCTCGAATCCAGAGAGGCTGTTGCTCATGGCTGCCCATTTATCTTCCCAATGACACACTGCCACCACCAACCAATCTTTTCTCATTGAGGGTGAGGTCCAGCCAGCGGGAGGTGTGTGACCAAAGAGATTTGGTCACACACCTCCCGGCAGGAAAGAGGAAATGACTGGGCAGTTCTGAGGTAGAGGAACTTGAAGAGAGGAGATCTGTGCCGGCACAGAGCGCCGTGTTCACACTCCTCCTGACAGCCTAAGGATGGATGGCCCCTGGAACCATCCTCCTGGAGAACAAGTGTCCCCCCAGCTGAGGCCCACACAGACACTTGTGTCACCATGCCCCCAGACCTTAAGGTTGAAAAATCATAACGCAGCAGTTTTCTCTGTGTTCTGTGGTAAGACTCATTTCCAAAATATTCAGAGTGAGTTTTCAAACTAGAGATGAACTCTTATGATTTCTGTGTATTCTATGAGGAATAATTTTACAAAGGGTTACCTTTGGATTTTATTTCCTCTGTTTCACTTTTAGTAGCTGGTCTCAAGGGCAATGCACCACCCAGAAAACCAATGCTTACCAAATGGGGTCTCGTTGACTTCAGTTCTGGTTCCGTGATTGCTGAGGCAGCTGAGAGCTTCGGATGCTTCTGAGGAAGACGTACGCTAAGCAGATTAATGAGAGAAAGGCTACTGCAGACATCATTGTGTATTTGACTTACAAGCAAAATTTTACCTATTTCTAAGAAATAAACCAAATATAATTCCAGAAAAATAATAGCATTTCAGATATTATTTTAGGGACAATTTCTTCTTACATTAAATAGCAACAGTTGGGCAGTTAAGACACCCAATTGCTTCCGCTATCCTTCACAAGCTGAGCTCAAGGAAATTTACATGACATATCTCAAACAAATCCAAAAGGTATTTTAAACCGTATTTCAATTTTACTTTTTTAATAACAAAGGAAGTCGATTTTAAAGAGTTGGATATATGAGGATTATTTGAGAATCCTGAACATTAGAATGTGTCATATAAACACAAGAATTCTGAAGAAAACCCCACAAGAACATTATAGTTTTTATGCTGTTCACTATCTAAATTAACAGCCAATGCAGGTTCTTAATAGAATGCTTTAAATTTTATTTCATAAAATATGGATACTCAGACTACAAATCGAATTGGTCTATAGTGGGGTGGGTGTGATACTTTGTAAAAACTCCCCAGATAATACAAAAGTGCTGCTTCGATTGTCAGCCTGCTCAATGTGGAGAAAACAGACCTTCCCAAAAAGCTGTAGGAAATGATTCTTCTGGGACCCTTTTAGCACCAAAGGACATCCAATCTTCCAAGAGGAGAGAAGTCTTGTGTAGTTAGCCTAGCTCATGTAGGCAAAAACAGATTTTAAAAATTAATATTTAAATACCTGGGGTTAAAAAATGGTTTAATCATTATTAACATCCTTCAGTACATAATTTTTGGCCATATTAAATGGGATTATTTTAGCTTTTAGTCAATGGAAAATTATATATGTATGAAATTATGTACATTTTTATATATGTATTTATATATATGCATGAGGGAAATAATGGGATCATTAATACTGAAATACAATTCTCATTCAATAGACAGATTTTCCTGGGTTAGGCATCTTCTAGCTGCATTCATGCTGATAGTCAGCAGTACATTCCAGAAAAAACTTTGGTTTATGCAAGGAAGAATGGAATATGGTATGCTGGAGAGAAGAGTATATTATAACTTAATAAATAAATCATCAATCGTACCTGATAGCAACTCCTTGTAAATTAAAAACCAATTGGCTTTCCTTGTCACACATTTCCTTTTGCCCATAGAATTATTTCTGTAAGTTCTTTGCTACGTCACAGAATGATCATGAAGCTAGCTGGTCCTGTCTGGGCCACCACTCAAGGGGTCTTAGGTCCTAAGTAAATAGGAGCCTGGGAGGGGTGTACGCAGGGGGCCATCCACAGTCTCACTCTTATGGGATGCTTTCCTTCAAGGGGCACATCTGGACACACGGGACTGGGGCTACACCAAGAAAATGCCACTCCACTGTTTCCTAAATGGTAGGATTTATTTCAATGCTCACATACAATTGGATGAGACAAACTATTTACATAAAACGTAAGTACAAAAAATATAATACAATTTATACTGTACATAGTTAGGGTTCTCTTATTTTGTCCCCCAAATTGTTGGTAGAGAGAGATAGTGAAGAGCAGTGGCTATGAAAGGGAAATCTCCACGCCGTGAGCGTGCTCAGGGTCACTCCATGAATTCACTGCTTGGAAGCGATGCCTAGGTGTGGGAGAGGCGTCAGTGATTTGCCAAGAGCAGGGAGTAACATTACATTTTCACTTCTGTGAAATTTTATCTTACATGTTTATTTTATTCAGGGTTGGGGGCTGGACCAGGTTTGGGTTCCACTGATCTGCTGCGTAACTCCCCTCCTGCCCTTTCTCTCACTTCCACATGCAATCCAGTGTGGCAGGCAGCGAGCTCCCTGCCGAGGCTGCAACAGTTGGTGTCTTAAACTGATGTTTGGAAGCAGTATACCTGGTGGGTGTCTTTAAACAACCTTCTGATATAAACCTGGACAGTTGTCAAGTGAGCATTAAAAACTGATGAATCAGTGAGAAGAAAAGGTAAGAGTGAGACCCTGGGAATCTGTATTGCACCTTTCTAACAAGGCTTTGAATGAAACCTAGAGAACTGAATGTAAGGACTGAAAAAAAAGTGCAGGCACCCAACGGCCCAGCGAAGAAAGATTTGTCAATCCATAAAGAGTCCAACAGGGCCACCAAAACTCCATTTTCTCATTCAAACGAAGGGAGAGGCAATGCCATCTCATTCTTTAAAAGCTCCATTTTGATTAATATATATTTTGTCTTTTAAAAATTAATTTTAAGGTAACTTTTTGCAAGTTTTCTATGGGCTAAAGTTGGCTTTGGAGAAGTCTCAATGAAAAAAAAAAAGAAATCCCAAATAAGATTATTTTGTATCACAGAAGTGTCATATTAACACAGAATGAGGCATTAAACATTTCATAACACCTTACAAAGTCATGTCACATATTGTAACACACTAGTTTTGTTACAGTTTTGAGGAATCCTACACAGGACCAAGTCTGTGCATTTTCTTTGCAGATGACATAGAGTTTGGGTGGTAAATGTAGGTGCCTGGGTCAAAGGTTCACACTGTGCTTTCTTTCAAAGTGCAAAAGCTGAAGTTTGATTTTGGCCAAGTCGTGGTACAAGGGAAAAATGGTCAGCTTTAGTAGACACACCACCTTTAACTTTCTTAACCAAAATTAAGAGTAACAACCTTGTTAACTTATGAGGAATTTTGACACTGACTGAAAAAAAATAAAAGCAGGCATTATTTTAGGTGGTCCTCATTCCAGCCACCACATCTGTGCCAGTGTCCCCAGCCTGATTTTCCCATCTGTGGACTTGCCTGAAGAGGGACACTACCAGAAACCTCTACTTTTATAGGTACCACATGGATTTTCCTACCACAAAACAAACACTAAGATATTTTTTGGAAGATGCAAAATTAATGTCACTCTCTGGAAAGCTGAGGCTGGGTTAACCTAAACTCTGGACACACCACTGCATCTACCTATGCCACACGCCCAGCCCAGGGCGGGTAAAAGACACATCTGTGACATGCTTCTTGGTCTCTATTCCTGAGTTCAAAGAGGCATATGAGAATGTGTTCTTCAAAGTACAGCCAATCAGTCCTCTGCTTTGAATTGGAACCAATACTATCCAGGTGAAAGGATAAATCACCACGTTAAACAAGGCACTGGCAACTTCTTATAGGAAACTAAACTAGCTGCATGGGCAGGTGGTGGCTAACAATGCTGCCCTTGGCGACATAATGGAAGGATGGTTTGGCTTTTCCAGAATCTGCATTTTGCTCCTAGCTTGTATTTATCTAACATTTGAATGATGTTGAATTGCCATTCATCTAATATTTGGACCATTTGGCATTAAGTTGCCAAAAAACTGAAAAAGAATAGGATCATGTTCAAAGTACTGGCCTCAGATTTCTGACTAAATATGGAAAGATAGAATGAGTTATTTTCCTGTTCAACATGTTAGTTAAAGAAATGACATAGCGGGTTTTCCTCTTTTGTTTTTTCCTTTCGGGTTTTAAAATGTCCTTGACTAGTTACTGTCATCATGTCAACATAGAAAAAGATGCTTGCTGGAATGCAAATTGATAGTAACTCTGGTTATGAGTAGCAAGGTTATTCATTCTATGGAAAAACTAGTATGATCTTTTGCAAATACTATACGAGACAGCTTTCACTAAGAACTGTACACTTTGTGTCAGGATCTGAATTTGGTTTTGATAATGCTCTCTTTGCAGTATAAACTATATTTTTAAGAGACAACAGGTCTCCGTTCTGGATGCATCTTAACATGTGTTAAATTTTTTTTGATGCAACATATGACCACTGAAAAAAACTTTGATCTGCTCCAAAAATTATGTATATAATGCAGAAATCCATTAAAACAGTTAGTATGTTAGCATCATTTTGGAAATACTGCCAGCAGTCCAAAGTTGTGTCTTGTTCATTACTTTTCAATTTCCAAAAGAGAAAAGCAGCAATAATTAACATTTTCCTGTGTTTATGAAGTTATCAGAACAGATAATATGAATGCCTTGGGGTTCACTGTTTGTACAGGTACCAAGCATCTATAAATCCATTATTATTAAAGACCTCAACAAGGAGAACAGCAGAAATAAATTCCATAATTGTTCCTGATCTCCAAATACTTATCTTACACGGTAATCACTGTGTGGTACTTGGCATTCCTTTCTGGGCATTTCTCAGGTCAAACTGAATGTTACTCTGTGTCCTCCCATTTCACACTGGCTGGAGAAGCAAGGGTTCAGATGGCTTTCTAGTGTCTGATAATAGATAGTCACAAGTAATCAAATTTGGCGATGTCATGTCAACATAAATCACCTAGTCAGCATAAATTACCACGAAATAGTGCAGACATTGGAAGCTGTGAATGTGTTGGGTGTGCCAATGAGAACAGTGAGCTCCAGCTTGCATCTCCTTAAAGGGAATTATCAGAGAGTTGATTGAAAGTTATCGTTCTAACTCCCCATCTTCACAGCCACTGACTGGGGGTGGGTGGGCTGTGGGACTCGGGCACAGCCCAGCCACATGTAGATGGCTTCTCTAGGACAGACTCAGTTCATCTGATGGACCCCTGGTAGCCAGTGCCTCTGCATAGGTGCCTTGGGGCCATCTTTTTAGATAGAAATGCTGGATTCAGATACAAGCAATGGAGATACTTTACAAATGCCACACACAAGCCCCCTGGAATGTGAAAGACACCCAGGACTAAAGGAAGTTGATAACCTTGGGGCAAAGTCAGCACACTGATGGTGGTTTGATGGTGCTGGGAAATGTTCATGATTTATTCTGAATGCAGGGAGGATGTGATAAAGAAGGGTGAGGATATTTGTGAATTCTAACACTGTCAACTGCGCCTTCAGGGTGCCTTAAGGAAGTGTTCACAGAAAATGGTTAGCTGGGTACAGTCTTGACATATTTTCAAAGTAAGATTTCCTTTGATCTTTGTGTCCCTGGGGGACATGCACTCCTGTGTTGGGACTTGTTGGCAGCTCTAAAGGTTACCTAGCTCACTCTCCCCCACCCCCTCCAGTGCAGACACTGTGCACTGAAACTTTGGTTCCTGGAACATCAGCCGTTTGCAGATTAATAGGAAATAAGGACATGTTTGCCTGCCCTCCAGACGGCTGATCCTGGGAGAGTGTGCACGGATCTGAGGCCTGTGTGTGGATCTGCTGATCCTGGGAGAGTGTGCGGATCTGAGGACTGTGTGGATCATGCACCTGCCGGACTGCCTGTAGCGCACTCAGCTCTGGAGCCACCAGGTCCCCATGTTCTCAGGGTCACTACTTCTCCTACCCTTCCCCTCCTCTGCTTCTTTTCTCTTCTTTTCTCAGTGAGTCAGTGGGTGCACACCCCTGGTTCACCCCAGGCACAGGGACAGCCCCTCCCTGGAGACAGAGGCTTCCCCATGCAGGGTTGCCCTCCTGCGCCTGCACGGTTCCCCTGGAGTCCTGCCACCCCTCCCCACACAAGGCTATCCCAGCCCCAAGGCCAGTCCTGCTCAGAATCTGAGGCACCAGCTCGGGGAACTGCCCCTGGGGAGTGGGGCACTGGGATCCTCACATCAGTGTTCAGGGTCAGAGGCACCGAAAGCACCCAATGCGAGCTGGGCGACGGCGAGGAATCAGCTGGTGACTGCAGGTCTCCGAGAAGCAGTGTCTGATCCCGCGGCCCAGGGCGTGCCAGGCCCGTCCCTCAGGGTGACAAAGCCTCGGTCCCACCAAAGCCCCCTCCTCAAGAGCTCTCTGGGAGGGCTATATGGTGTGCAGCCGGGACCCTCAGTTCCTCTCATTCCTGTAAAGTGCCAGTGACCTCTGGGCTGACATTGGAGGGTGACCAGTCTAGTCTAGAGGAAGGACCCTGAGCAACCCGGAACCGCTCTGTAAGCATTTAAATGTGAGACTAATGCCAGTTTCCTCATGAAAACCAGCCAAACATCAACAGGGTACAGAAATAACCCTAGAAACTAAATTGTGATCAATGCCATTTGACATTAGATTCAGAGGGGTGCAGCTTAAAAATTTAGTCTCTATTTGTGCTGCTTGTACCAAAAAAAGAAGGAAGAAAGCAAGGAAAATGAAAAAAGAGAATGAAGAAGTTACTACTCAGAAACTTAAACTGTGCCCCACAGAGAACCGCCATCAACGCAGCGAAAGGGAGGGCTGCTAACGAAGGACACCTGGGCAGGCAGCCCTACGACAGCATCACGGGTGGGCCTGCGTGCAGCAGGAGGCCAAGGACAGACACGGGGGGCAGACACTCCAGGGACAGGAAAACAAAAGTTACTCCACAGCTGGTTAAAATATTGAGACTATAGTTAAAATTATTCAAAATCAACTTAAATTCTGTCAAATGAAAGGGAGAGAGAGAGAGAAAGAAGAGAGATACAGAGAAGTCATAATAGTTTTCCTTTGAACAGAGGGCCAGGGAACAAAAATGAGGGATTTCTTTGCAGTGACAATCTCAAAGCCCTCATGTAATCAACCACGTGAAAATTCTGTTGCGAAGGGAGGGCACTGTCTGTCCCCAGCCACTGCATGAGATGAATGGAAGACCAGCTAGGATGCATTAAGAAAGCATTTCCCATCAGGTCCACTGATGCTTTCTGGAAATATTAGTATCCTCTTTCCTAAGGGAAATAAAATGACCTTTTGAGCTTAGAAAAATATTGGGGAGAGGGAGTCAAAAAACAGCTAGTATGTGCTACACATTGAGGACATTTTTTCTTATAAGCAAAGTGATGAGACAAGTCAAAGCGTTCAATAAAGATCCAACCCAAGAATTATTAGGAAACTCTGGCTAAACTTCACCTCCTGAATATGGACTTAAAAGTCTGTGGGTACAGACAGAAAAACCTCATAGCATTCAGGGAACACAGGGGACCTAAGAGGAACTCCCCACTGGAAAGATCTGGAAAACCATTCATTTGCAATCTATCAGGCCTCCCAGAGACCACCTGCCATTTAAAATTTAATTTTAGTAAAGTAGCTTCTGCAAATTAGGGTATATGAGAATATTCTGAATACATCAATGTTCATTACCGAACATTGATTAGTAAGATTTTTCCCACCACTTTCTGAAGTTGTTTCTTTCAATTAGATAGGATAGAAACACATGCTAATAAATCTGACTTTCCTCAGTGCCTGTACCATGTATTTTCCCAGATCTGAAGGTTCATTTGTCAATAAGGACATGTCTTAATGTTCACCCAGGCCTCCAACACAATGCCGAGGCATCAGGTGAATGGTTTCAATCTCGTTCTTACTTTCAGCAGTTTTTCCACCAACTGCCTTATGTTATGCATCAGTTGTTTATGAGTAATTTATCCTGTTTCTTTCTTTTTCTTCTTATGAACAGTACCTATACGAAGAGTATTATAACACTCTGAAATGCTTAACAATGATCAATGCTCAGGGATCATTAAAATGTTACTTTCAGACCCCCTGCTTACTCAAGGTACATCTTGAAATGCTGTTGCAGTGAGAGATGGGAGGGGGTGGATGGAGAGGCAGCACTGAGGGAAAAACAAAAGGCACCAGGACCAAACATCTCCTCCTCACCTGACCTGGAGGCGCCACGACAGTGTGGTGCTCAGAAGCACCAGTATGTACAGCAGCGGGATGCAGATACCAGCCTTACATGTCACTAATGCTCTGCAGAGGGGCTGACTGCCATACATTAGTTCTAACAGGAGATAGCAAATTAAAAGTTGCTTTCCATTAAAGGTCCATTCTTTTAGTCCTTTCCATAAAATGGAAAAGTAAAAAAACAAAACAAAATGTTGTTTTCAATTACATTCCATTATGTTCAATGCTTTCCCTCACTCGTGCCATGAATATTCAAGATTTTCCTCTAATGGGAGAGAGGAGATGTGGAGTTTATCCGAGTGCTAAACAAGTGGTCATTTTACAGACTGGCTCTTCAGGGCGTTATCATGGACCAGACAGGGAGCTTCCAGGCCAACCCACATGGTAAGGAGCAACCTGGAATGCCATGAAATCCAAGAGTCAGAATAAGGCTAACTGTGCCACAACACACAGGACGCTTCTCCCCTGACTGTGTCTGTGCCTCTGCTCTTCAAGCTCACCTCCACCGCGATGAACACAGTTAGTATATCAAGCCTGCGGCTGGAGTGTCTCACATCTCATACCACTACTGCTGCAGACGCAAGACAGGCTGAATCCCTGGGCTTCCCCAGCAAGAATTATTCCAAGTCTAAACCCCAAATTGCTTCCAAGAATTCCACAGTATCCAGATTGGGAAGATGGGAGATCCATGGTGAATGGCTGCAGGGCCACATTCATATTCTTCATTTCATCAAATACTATGGACCTAAGCACTCCTTGTGGAGGCTCTTGAAGAGTCTCTTTTCTTGAATTAAAACATCATGAAGATTTATGGTCAAGAGCAGGAAGACATTCACATTTCTAATGACTCCTGCCTGGGTGGGTGGTACATTTATTAAAAAGCTCAAGAAAACAACTGACTTGTTAGAAAAATGGACTGAACACAATAACCAAAAGCTGCACACCTTGGCTCACTCAACAATGAGCAAGTATTGTAGACCAGATTTTCATGACATCATATTTAGATTTTTGTTGCTTTAAAGGATGTCTACTTTTGGCAGCAATGGGACACTGGTGGCTTGAAATGCACTTGAAATGTATCCAAACTTCACCTCTGAAGTCTCAGAAACATGGGCAGTCATGGGGCACAGGCCTTGGGGCATTACAAGAAGCCAAAATTGTAAGAGCTATTAGTACTCATCATAATTATTGAGATCTGTGAAATAGGCGTTAGAGTAGGTCTTCCCAGTGAGATGCGGGTTGAAATATTTGTTTCTTTCCTCTAGGATCAAGTTGTTTTTGTTAAATGCCTACAAAAAAGAAAAGGAAAGAAAAAAATTAAGAATACTCAGTAAGCAATATTTCAGAAAGAGAGCATAATTAGGAGATGACAGTTATTGAATTTGAGCTCTCTCCGAAGATTCCATTATTTTAAAATATGTTTTCTCGCTTGCTCCTGCACATTTTTTGACTTCCTGAGGACTTGCCTCATCACTAGAAAGAGGCTGGCAGGTTTTGATAAATAGATTTTGATAAATTTAAACCTCCAGGAAATCTGAAACTCCAGTGATTTCAAATCAACAGTTTCAATGTTATCATGTATAACTGAGTAGAGATTTAGGCAGCTTTCTGATTACCTAATGGATTGCCACACTGGTGAGAGATTTTGAAAGAACTTATTTTAAGTAAATGCATGAAATTTCAAATGCCTTTATTTCTTACTTTCTGCACTTGTTACAAGGTGACTTTGTGATGGGAAAACAGCTATTCTGAGTGGTGTCTGGCATCATAGTGACAACCCTGCTCACACCAGAGCCTAGGCACTTACCTAAGGACACAACCCTAGGGTTCCCACCACAAGGTCCTGCTTTGCTTTCCCAGGGCACCTTTGTAAATGAATACTCATACCGAACCTGTGTGAAGGCAGCAATCTCCACCCCAACTGCCCTCTAAGCATGAAGTGCTGCTCCCCTGCTTCGTCTCCTGTTCCCTGCGGCCTGGGACACCGCATTGCCATCCCCCTGGCTTACTGTGCCCGCCTTTACCATTGCTAGGATCCACAAATAATAAGCCTGTGACTCTACTTCCCTTGTGTGGGTGCACTGTAACTTTGCCTTCAATCAAAATGACTCTGGGGGTGTCACTTCTCCCAAGCGGGAGCTGGGAAACAGAAGGAGCTCCAGGCCACCCTATGTGCAGCCTTGTGCCCCTCACTCAGCAGGTCATAGTCTGCAACTTCTTAACTCAACACACCAGATTTGGGCCCCAAGACAGATGGCTGCACCCATTTCTGCCATAGATGCCCTTTCCTATGAACAGCTGTTAAAGCCACCTGCACTTTAAAAGTGCTAAATATCCCAGGTCGAGAGTAAATACCGATAGGACCAAAACAGAGATTAGGATGGCATGAAGAAGCCAATTGTCCAGGACTGGTCTGGGCAAGGTATCTGAAGAAAGTTCTAGAAGGATTACTCAGGGACAAGGCTGCCATCCTTTGTTTCTAGAGCAGCAGAATGTCTTGATTGTCTTAAGTGGCTACTAGATCTTACAGGAGACTAGAAGCTCAGCTAACCTCTCTTCAGTTGCTGGAAGTAACAGTGACCGCAAATAAGTTGACAGGTTGGAATCACATGTAGAGGAGACCCATTCTCGGATCCTGGAAACCTGTTTGTCTGGAAGGTTCTGGCTCATAGAGGAGATCAGGTTTCTTCTCATATTCCAGGAGCTGAATTCTGAGGTTGTGAGGGGCCTGTTATTATTTCCTGGGTTTCATTGCCTGACTCCAGGGTGTAATTAGCTAAGGTGCTGATGGATCCTGGATCCGGGGTAAGCAGGGTCCCTGGGTAGAAGTCGACTGGCTCTGGCTCTCTGCAAGCGGTAGAGAAGGGGGGCCTCATGGCAGGTGGGGAAACAGCAAAGGCTTTCCAACCACCTGACGTTGTAAGGGCTGAAGATTTCCCATAGTCCCACATGGGAAGGACATGAAATTTTAAAGGAAACCATCATAGCAGAGAGAGCTTCAAAATATTCCCTAGGAACATTAACCACCAACTGAATAGGAATACCAAAATTTAGGCAACCTGCTCGTGAGAATTTCCTCATTCCTATGGGTGATGGGGAAGGTTGGATGAAGGAGATGAGAGCCCTTGATATCTTTCCAGCTGCATCCTAACCTCCTGTATGTCAGTAGTCCATTTAAATCTCATAACAATATGGGAGCACATACTGTTAGTCCCATTTTAAAACTAAGAAACTGAGGTTCAAAAACGGAAGCTTTGTGTGAATAACCGGCATATATTTACCCAGCTGGTACATGATTCCTGAGCCCAGGTATGCCAGATCCAAAGCCGATACCCGCCCTACCCCTTCTTCCTTAGAGTGAAGAGACTTCCTTAGAATGAGGAAGTCTAAATTCCTTAAATTTAGACCATTTATTGTAAATACCTGGGTCAAACCCTGGATTAATCACCCACTGGGAATATTTAACAAAATCACCCCACCCCAGTTGCACAGCATTTCTACATCACACCAAGCTGAAGAACCTTCATTATGTTTGAAAATTATGAGGACAGTCTTCACAATAACATAACCATTTTTCTTGGGATGCCATCCTATGTGAATGGACTCTGGTCTGCATAGCGCTGCCTGGCATGTACAGTCCTTGGCCTGGGCTCTTTTCTTTGGCAAGACCTTCTTCCCAGGTGTGGAAGGCACAGTGAGGGCAGAGCTGGGCACTGGCCAACAACCCAGTATTTTCCAGCATGCTATCTGTTGCTGTTTCCACGTCCCATTGTTAACCTAATTACCAGTATGACATGCCATCTTTTCACAGGCAAAGCAAAGCTAAAAAGGCATTTCATTGTAAGGGAACCCTTGACCTTGCCCCCCACCCTGTCACTTTCACCACCACCACTGAGCTCCACCAACAGCCCCCAGCGACCACCTGGCTCTTTGTACGCCTGTCTGCAGGGGTCGCTGCAGATCCCATACCTTGATGGCCTCCACCGAGTCATACTTGTCCAGTTTGTTGATGTGGTTAGTTATGCTGGTGTTGAGAGGGGCGGGAGCGACAGGATGGATGACTGTAGCATCGTGGGATTGCTGCTGGTACCGCTGGCAGTAGGTATAGACGAGCAGCGTGAGAAGACAGCCCAGGATGGAGCTGCTCAACCCCACAGCGATCATGTGGAACATGTTGAACTCTGGGGAGAGAGCATCATAAGTGAGCTATGCTGGCTGAGAAAGAGGATGCTGACCAAGAGTCACATGCACTCCAATGATAAGAGAAAAAGACAGTGCAGTGCAAAGCCCTGTACCCACTCCAAAATCCAAGAACTCCCAGGAACTTCCTTCGAAATGTCAGGGCCACCAAGATGCTTCTCCACAGTGAGCACAGTATATTTGAAGTTGGTGCTCTTATGAGTTACAGTAAGTCTCTCAGAAAGCACCTTAGCACCCTAGCAGAAGCACTTTTTTCTTTAGAGGCTGTCCAATCTGCTTGTTTGTTTTCAATGCAGCAGAATCTACTGTCGATGGGGTTTCCAGGGCACATTGTTCCCCACACTCCTTGCAGCATGGCTTGGTAGAATGAACAAAATGAGAATGTATTTACTGCTCCAACTACTGCTCAAAATTACTGTATTTTGGAGAGCTTATAAAGAAAATGGTTCACACCAAAGAAATAAAGGAACTGTATCAAAGGAATAAAATATGATCTTTTAATAGTCATTAATTGGCCCTCTCTTATGTATTTTTTCCTATTTCGTAGCATCTTTGAGTTATGAACACAAAATGCTGACAAAATCAGCAGACATGGACTTATATCTCTATAGGATTGGCTTGAGAGACATCAAGGTAATTTATTCAAGATCTGGGTAATGCCTGAGAAACCACTGCACAAAAATATGTAATTATCATGTGTTGGTAAAACATTTTCAGGGAATACAGACATTTGGGCAGTGCTCATGATGCCGGACTTAGTGAAAATCAGGTAAAGCAGAACATGGCCTTATTTTTCCCATGCTGTGTTGGTACCCTGCGCCGAACCACTTGCCTGGAGCTGCTGGCCCATGCCCCCTGCACAGAGTGCTTTCTGAGGACTGGCTCTCCCCCAGAGTGTCCTCTCCATGCACCACCATGCTCACACTGTAAACCATGCTCTTCCCATTTAGCCATCCTGCACCTGAAGAGAATACTGGGAAATGCCACTGCAGATGCACAGTGAGTCCCCAGGGGCACAGAGTGAGGCCACCAGGGCTCTCAGAGAGAGAAGACCTGCAGGTACATCCCTTGCCTGCAGATCCTGGAGTGTCTGCACTCTAACCCCCCTTGCTTTTTGCTAAGGACTTTCCGAGCCACCTTCACCTCCCCCATGATCCACAGCGGAGGTGGGGTGCCTCTCATCCATCCCTATGCCCTCATTTCTCCCTGTGTCCCCCTTGCTGCTCTGAGGCCCTGGGGCCCTGAGAGACAGATCCACTTTCCAAGGTGGACAGACACGGTGTGGAGAGGCTGCCTGCTCCCGTGGTCACTGTAGGCTGTAACCACTGTGCTCCTGCCTGCACTGACTTTCAGAGTTAGGACGTGTGATTCCTAACTCAGGCATCCTGTATCTTCCACACCAGGGCCTGGATAACCCAGGTGCATGCTGCTAGAACATTCCATACATATCAACCCCTCCCCAACAACCACCTCAGTTTTTTACTTCTTGACTATTTGGTCAGTGCTCTAGCAAAGCGAAAGGGCTTCACAAATCTTAGGCCTTTTCTGATTCTGTCCGCAGCCTCTAGAGCTGGACAGTTCCCAGCCCAAGAGCATCCCCAGCAACCTGGGAAAGTGCACCCAGCACTGAAGCTGGGTGCCAGGAGAGCAAGCACTGATTTCAGATGCATTGTCATTTCTCCATACTTAGCTGTTTGGACTGCCCAGGGTCAATGCCACGTACTGATAAAAAGTACTTTGTGCTGCACTGATAATGTATTTTACTATAACCCCTGGAAGCTGTATGATGTTCTCCTCATGCAGACACTTTGCCGTTAGTCCAGTGGGTCATTCCTGCTGGTCGGTGTGGGGAGGGCTGGGGCCAGCTGACGTCTTTATGAGGAGCACACAGTCTCTGCATCTCCTGCAACTCAAAACAGCTCTCTAAGCTGAAACAGTTCAACAGCCTACAGCCTTCTGCATATGGGAAAATAGCACCTATTAAAATCCCTTTTGAATTTGCTTAGCATGGCTTTTCACTTTGAGTATGCTTTTTTTTTTGCTGTTGTTTTTGGTCAGTAAGCTGGAACACAGACCAACTCCACAAGCTGATTTTCTGTACTAAGTTTTGCTGATTTTTCAACAAACTGAAAAAAGATATCTACGTTGCCTCCCTAAATATCCCTAAATATCCTTGCTAATTAATTGTTTTTACCTATCAGCCTTACAGTCAGATCCCTTTGACCTCCTACCTTCCCAATCTGATGTGTCAATGGCAGCCGCCTAAAGATCTAAAACATCAATTCTGAATATTGTGGAATAACTAAAGTATCTATGATTTTATCAATAGTGTCTGACAGCTTGATTTTGGGTTGCACAGAGAGTTAACACAGTTGGCCCAGACACACAGATGTCACAGTGAGATTGGACTTTGCACCCCTGAGTGTGTTCAGTCCCTGAAGGACTTCCATATGCTAACCCAGAGAGGTTCAGTTGGGAAACCGTGTTTGAACCTCTGGGAGGCATAGAGAGCCAGTCAACTTGCTGGAGGCATCAGCTGGTTGACCTCAGGTTCCATCATAGCCCCCCTTAGGATGGGTTCACTCCCTACAAACTCTGCTTTGCTCTTGACCTACACTGCCACTGAGGGCAGCAGCCATCCCTGGACCGTTGGTGTTGTCTGTGGGTGCCTCTGTGCAGGGCTGCTGTGGCCCCAGCCTCTGAGACACAGTGCTCCCCAGGGGACACCATGCTGTTCACTGCAGGTCCTTTTCTGTGATGCTGTGGGCTTAAAGCTCACACTTGGACCCCACAGCCTGGGGCCAAACTCCAGCTCTACGGCTCCCTGCCTGTGTGAACTCTGCCATGACCCATCTCTCTGACACTCACCACCCCTGTTTATAAAATACAGAGAACAGTGTGTGGCTGCTATCTTTTTTCTACAATTCCCCAGACCAAAATCTCTGAAAACTGATACTTTTCCTAACTCACCTGGCAGCAAAACCTGACCCATTTTGCTGCAAAAACCAACCAGAACTGCCAGGAGGAACATTAGCTTCTTTACTGTGCCCACATTTCATGGAAGCATCAAAGAGACTGGTGACAGAGTGCGGCCTTAGGCCCTGCAGGGGTGTCTTATAAAACCCAGAATCTGAAAAATGCTGAATTATAAACCCTTCTCCCTCTCCAAGGATCTTAGACAAAGGACTGTGGGCTATGACACTGTGTGAAGGTTCTTTGTCAGAATCAAATAAGATAATTCTTGTCATTAATACAGTGTCAGGCACATAGTGACTGATCTAGAACCATTAAGGGATACTAATGGCTATGATTATTTTTATGTGAATGGCATATATTTATTTTGTAGCTGGATCCCAAGCAAGCCACTGACAGTGTGTGAACTCAGTGATCTGGCCTAGGTCAGGCAGCAGACACTGGGCTGGTCAGGCACTGGGATTTCTTAAGATATGACCATTTGTTCCAGAAGGGCTGAGCCTATTGAGGCCCCACTGTGAGCTCAAAGCCCTCACAGAGCTGGCACTGAGTGGGAGCTGGGCACAGATCATTGAATGAATGGATTCTCAGCAGGCTGACTAAACAGATAGAATTTAACAGACAATGAATTCTTAATGTGGTTAATAATGGTAAACACCTTTCTAAAATATACTTAGGAAGCTCCAGATTCTATCTAAATAAAACAAAGACCAAAGCCAAACGCTGAGCTGACACTCCCTTGGAGGAACAGATTATGGCTACTTGTTGGTAACTAGCTGCATATCTGAAGATCAGGTCCCAGTGTAGATACTGACTCTGATTACCAAAGGTGGACAGGGGCCTGGCTTTGATCAATAGACAGTCAGTCAGCTCTCCCACCCAGACATGGTAGACATAGATGCAAAAGCCCAAATGTATCATGGAATTGAACCAAAGAATGTGATTTTTGTCATTCTGGGTTCCAGGAAGTTTGAAAAACACCTCAAGAGATATAAGGTTAACCTTATGCCCCAAATGAACAAAATGCGTGGTTTCTATTTTGGTCATGAGAAATCAAACTTTAGCTAATATCGAGTTCACTGATTCATAAAGCCTAGCATCCACCAGGATCACCTGAATGGCTTATTAAACCATGGGGCACTGTGCTCCACTCAGAGGGTTCTGATTTTGTAGATTGAGGTGGGACCAGAAAATCTGCATTTATGTCAAGTCCTCGGTGACGCTGACGATCCTAGGCTACAGACCCCACCTGGGAACCACTGATCCAGATGCCAACTATCAGCTGCTCGCACTTATACAGCAAAGTATAAGGTGCTCAGATCTGGGGTTTTCCCAGTCTTTTTTCCTTGGCCAGTAGCAAAAATATTTTATGAAACATGAGAACAGAAATTCCTGGAAAACATCAGAAATCAATTAGAAATAAGTTAAAAAGAAGAATTTACCTTCACACCTTTTCTCTTCTACGCTACTGGATCTCGCCACAGATACTTCTGGAAAAACAAAAATCCAATCACAATGGGCAAAGGGTATTGAGAAGGAGAATCACATTATTAGTGATTTTATGCGAGAAGTTCCAAAAGCCTGATTGTTTAAAAAATTGTACTTGTTTCTTTGTTTTCACCAACCTGAGACATGTTTGGTGTGGATCACCTTGGATGGGAAAGGGTGAGGTTCACCACCACAGGAAGGACATGCTAGGGTCCCTTGGGCAATAGCTTCAAAATAAAGCCAGAGAATGTACTGGTTTTCTGTTACAAAGTACTCTGCCAGCTATGGGCCCCCACAGTGCTTGCCTGGTGTGTCCCTGCCTCAGATCTTTTGTTTCATCAAAGCCACTGTTGTCACCTGCCCTACAGAGGGCAAGACCCATCAGCACTCAAATAAACGAAACCAACTGCGACCAAGTCCCTATGCAGAGCCTGTTTCAGGGTCTTTGCCTTGCCTCACAGCACCCACACCAGGATACCATGGAAAGGAGACAGCCACTCAAATATTTCAACCTGCAGGAATCAAACACCATTTTAGGAGCCCAGAAATGTTATTCTCTCCTGTGTTAGTTTTGCACTAGAAAACAAGGATTTAAAATAGTGTTTATGGTTAAAAAGGAAAACAACAAGCAGTCTTGCTATTCTATACTGCTTGTGATTGAGGTGACTGATATGGCTACAGCTAAAAATTTTCTCTAAACAATTACTATCCTTTCTGTAAATGGAAGAAAACAAAGTTACCTATTATTTACTTTGTAAGAGGTTGTTCTCTGCTTTGGTCCATGTTACAGTCCTAAGACACACAGTGGGCATGTGTGAAATGATTTCCAAGTGTCCAGGACCATGCCTCCAGTGAGCATGTGACAGATGGCTAGCTATCACGAATAGCTAAGCACCGATTTCACCTGGAAGAGTTTATGGCAGAAGGGCCAGCCAACCTCATCCTTATCTCCAAGATGAGAACAATGACAGGTGTCCGTCTGCAGAAGTAGATTATGGTTGCAAGAAAACAATGGCCCTTTTTCTCTGTGCAAACACACACATGGCATTATCAAGGCACTTAGCCTAATATTAAAATAACCAAATAACCTATTCTCATTTTTTGAGCAAAATCTTCTGGGTTACAGTCAATAAACTGAAGAAGACATCGTGCTTCAACAAAAATCTTAAAACTCACAGCTTAAATTCAAAGTCTAAACCCGCAGTTGTCTGCATATCTACGCCTTGATCACCTGGAAACCACAGGGGTTGATAGAATCAAATCCGTTTCACCCAACAGGAACTCCAAGAGCGGATTAAATTCCCAGAGGTGACTGATTTCCTCTCTAAACATTGGAAATGATTGTGTTCACACTGGAAGCATCTCTGCACTTACCTGGGATGAAATTGGAATCAAAAACACATGGCCGGCTCTCCGTGGCATTTCCAGAACACTGGCTACCCACGGGGAACAGCAGGATGCACTGGCGGGTGCGGACCTGGACTCCAGACGCATCACACTCAGACCAGTCGGACCACTCTGACCAGCTCTCTGCAGTGACAAAAAGGGGAGGTGAGGCGGCTGGACTTACTAAGATTGACAAACCTCGAAACACCATTGGGTTACATGCGTAGCTTTACATTCTCCTGTTATGTTCCTAATCGGTCTGTGTGTAAGTGAGATGGACTCATATCTTCTGATCAGTCCAGTAAATAAATTCTAGGCAAGCATGAATAAAAGAACTCATGTATCTTTGATCAGAAACAATGTGTTTAAAATACATTTTCTAAACCCCACATTATTGAAATGATCCAACATAATTGCATTAGGCACTCAACAAGCTAATCCATGAGGTCCAGTCATGCACAGACCATTGATGGGGAGACTAAAATCATCAGGGCAGAGATCATTTCCTACAGGCAAATGCTCTGCTGTGAAGAGCAGCCCTTCAACACTTTCCTGAGAAATTCCTTGAGGCTTCGGAGCTCAGGCAAGAGGAGCTCAGGCAAGAGGAATGACAGTGTGTTAAGAAAGCCCCAGCTGGTGAAAGGGATTTCAAGATACTATAAGCACTTTCTCTTCTGTTATGAAAACAATTCTGCAGTCAATACTCCAACGTCAGGCTGTACTTGAGGGAGAATTCATTTTACCCCGCATTACCGTCACCGAAGGGCCGAAGATCGATGCACATGTCTTGGGTTAAGGCCAAAAAATGAGCCATGAAAAGTCACTTCACTCCCAAGTGTTAGAGTTACTAGGATTTGTTAAATTCACCCAGATCTACAGATGTGTGAAAAGAGAGGAATACCACTCACAATCTAAGGAAGGAAGTTAAGAAATGAATTCTCAATATTACTTATGAAATATTAATCAATATAAAAATATATTTTTCTATGCAGTTTGCTATTTTCCTCTTTTTAAATTTAAGCATCACCTTTGCAGTACAGGGAACATTTGGAAATCAAACTTGATGCCTTGATCCATTGTAAAGGGCAGAGTTTCTCCTAGAAATATGTGAAGTGCCAATTTTTGGAATAACTAAGAATCTGGTTTTTAGGCACTTTTCAATATAAATGGAACCTTCTGGAAAGATCTGCCAGGAGCAAGTTCAAAAAGTATAGGTTATTAATATCAAAGTGAGACTCAGAAAAGGATGTCCCCTTTTCTTTCCAAGTGGTCCCTACCTTTCAAAACATGAGTCTAATTCCTGGGTGGAGAAGGCTCTGCAGGCATCCACCCGCCCCTGGGCCAGCCAGCCTGGGGTTCGCATCCCGCACACCCTGTCACGAGGCCGAGGGCTCTGAAGTGACTTCACAGGGCTCTCTTGCTTCCCACCCTGACTGTCAACAACATATCAGGTTCCATTACCGGGTGAAATGTTTTCATGCTGTGTTTCTGTAACTTGCTCTGAAGCTATGGCTTGGTGAAAATGACACTTTTGTAGAACAGTGTATTATTTTGTCACTTTGGGGGTAACAGTGAGAGACTGATGTGTTCCCCTCTTCCAGTACTAATTGTGGCATGGCATCATTAGTCTCATGATCTCTAAGCCCAGGAAAGAGCTGAGTTTGTCCCAGAGGCGGGCGGCGCATGAGGCGGGCCGCCACTCACCGGGACAGGGCTGCGTGCTGCAGAGCGCCTCTTCGGTGTGCAGCCCGAGGCAGATGTCTCCTCCGTAGGCCGGCGCTGGGTTCGTGCAGGAGCGGGTCCTCATGTAGTGCCCACCACCACATGTTGCCGAGCATTTTGACCAGGGCGACCAGCAGGACCACATGCCATCCACTGGAAAGGGACACAGAACCACAGCACTCTGAGATCCAAGTCTGATGGGTCAGATGTGCCTACAGAGGGTGTCTGGGGTCCTCCATCTGGGGTGGGAACCAGTTTTGTATCTTCCTCCCTATGCTTTTCCAGCTCCTCTCATCTGTTTTTTTCAGGAACTATTTCTAAACGTATAACATGTATGCATGCAGGTGACCAAGGAGTGCACTGTATGCAACACAAAATCCCAGGAATGCCCATAGATCACACTCCAGGGTTCATGTGAAGCCCCAGCCAGCATTCACCTTTGCTAACTACACAGTCTAGCTGGCCAGGTGAGCCTCAGAGCCTGGGGTAAGTAGATCCAGGCACAGCCGTCCTTACTGACTGGATTAGGATTTGCTCCATAACAGTGGGACAGACGAGAGCTAACAGGTCCTACGAGGAGGAATGTGAAGGATGCCACAAAGATAAACAAACTACACAGGTGCAGCATCGACAGCAAGTTTATGGGACAGATGAAAGCAAGGAGCCCAGCATCTGCAGCCAGCCTTCAGGTTGAACACGAAGGTGAGTTTTATAATGTGAACATTTGGCTGAATTGGCTCCCTGACCGACGGTTTCCATGACTGCTTGCAGGCAAGAGCATTTCCCCTGTTTCCTCCAGCCTGGGCTCCTGACACAACAGACAGGCCCCCTGGATGCTGGAGTCAGCCGGCCCACCCAGACCTGGGAGAGAGCTCAGTGTTCCACTCTGTGTTAATGACACTGCTAAGACTTAAACCTCATGTGGGCTTCGGTCTGTGGTATGGTAAGATACCACCTGCTATTTATCTAACTCCTGAGTGAGCCTCCCTCCTGCTAGCCCACCCCTTTGCTGAGTCCTAGAGGAAAGCTGCAGGATTTTGTCAAGATCATATTCCACTTTGATTAGGGAGGCAAAAAACAATCATAACCATGGCTACCTAAACTAAAAAGCTATTACTGTATGTTGATAGTGTCATAGTTTATTTTCTCCAGATCCTACATAAAGAGAAAACAGAAGCAACCAGGAAGGGAAATGCCCAAATCATCCAGGGCACAAGATTGTTCCGACAAGAATGAATCACTTAACGTAACCATCATGATTTAATACATCTTCAAGGGGTCATGTTTTCTTTTGATATAAGCAATGATAAAAAGAAAGCATTTTTGAGAAACATGAGCAGAAACCCTACATATGTTTACGATGATGTTTTTATTTGCCAAAAGTAAAAACAAGTATTTGAACCCAGTATCTGAGTAAATTTGTGACCTAAATTGTAATTTCATGATTTAGTAGTTTGTACAAACTTCAAGAATTCAACAATATTTTCCCTAATAGGCAGTAAGACATACGAGAAATTAAGGGACAGCCAGCCAGATATCTGACATGGGTTGTTACAGCAGCAAAAGAAGGCAGGCTCATATTTGCCTACAACTGTAGACTTTTCAAAAACCCTCTCCCATCTCTCCTTTTGGTGGGATTTGGGGGTTGCTTGCTGGTAGGTTTTCTGTCTATAACTGTGCTGAAGCTTGGTGTCCAATGCATGTGCTTGCACACTCCCACTGAGATACAGACAAGTCAATGTGCCTTAGAAAAGCAAGTGTCATAGAGCCTGGGTGTCTGAATGTATACAAGGTGTTTGGGCTCAATAGGGTCTCATGCCTCACTTAGATGCCATGGGAGCCTGGCACAGAACTAACTATGTGATCCAAGGATCCTTCACTTTTGAATTGCACGGTGAACCTACAGATCATGGCCAACAGGTATGAAAAGACCCTCAACATCACTAATTATCATGGAAATGAAATTCAAAAGCACAGTGAGATATTACCGTGCACCTGTTAGGATGCATATTACATTAAAAAAAACCCCAATAACAGATAACAATAGTAACAGTGTTGGTGAGGAGCTGGAGAAACGGGAACCCTTACATGCTGCTGGTGCAAATGTAAAATGGTGTAGCTGCTGGGAAAATCAGTATGAACTTTCCTAAAAAAAATTCAGAACAGAACCACCATATGTCCTAGCAATCCCACTGCTGGGTATACGGATA